ACTCCGTGAACAAAAAAGATTCAAAATGAGAAAATATGAATAACGGAAGAAACGGCATCGAAAAATAAGTCCCGAACAGAAAGTTATGCCCTGAACAAGTTCGGCGGCAACCGAGTCCAGAAACTCTTAAACTGGAGAAAAACGACTAGAACGGAATTCTATGAATTTACAAGTTAACAAAAAGTGAAAATGAATCCCGTACGAGGATCCAGGCTTCAAACGAGACATTTTGCAATAATTTTCGTTAATTGCATAATGGCCCCTACAAAAAGGGTTAACTGCGAAACTGTCCCAAAAGATATTTTCTTAGATGCCCCTGAAATAAAATATCTTCAAAAGATATTTATGAAAAACTCCCCAAGAAATGAAATTAATTCCAAAGATTTATGCATCCATGCCCCTATGGGCACCGGGAGCAACCAGAGTACTTTCTCGCAAAGATACGTATTTCGTGGAAACCACTCACGATAAGGATACGTGAAGTCAAAAACCAACTCCGAGCACAAGAAATGAGATTGTGCCAAAAACTGACAAACGGAGAAAAAATGAAGTAGGGAAAATGACAGAATAGGGAAAAGACGAAATAGCGCATAGTGTCCAAAAACGAAAAATGCGAAAATGACTCGGTCATCAAAGGAAGTTGTCAATTCACATGAAAGAGTCTCAGAAACCAATTCTGAGCACTCGAGATGACACTAAGCGATGAAAAACCATCTACAGAAAATAAAAGACAACGGAAAAAATTTATCCGCAAAATTTGAGGAAAAAGGGAAAAGAAAGAAAATAACCGGGTCATTACATAACATGTAAACAATATATATTAACTTAAAAGCACAATAAAACACTAAGGTTATAAACATAAGACACCCCCTACCTCACTAGATAATAGAATCTCTAGAATTCAAAAGAAATGTGTGCAAAATGGAATCCAAAAACAAGGTGTTGTAGAGGAAGATGAAGGGAATTTTTTGTCTTCTAAAAGCTAGGCCAAAAAGGGTGAGGAAGATGGTTAATTTCAATGTCTAGGGTTAGGGTTTAAAGGCATCAATGGTGGCTTAGTGAGAGAGAATGAGGAAGATAATGAAATCTCTAGTTTTTCCATTAACTAAATGAGATACATATCACTTAAACTACACTGACACTACCTCTCACACACACTGATTAATCACACCCCTCCACTTGTCACGATCCAAGGTATCCTCACAAGGTTTAAAATCCATCCTACACTTGTCAAAATACAAGCCTTCCAAGTGTCTTGAACCAAAAGTCAACAAAAAGGTGACACTTGTCACATTTTTCAAAAATTGCAAAAAGATCCTTGAACAAAATATGTTCCCAAAATAATTACAAAAAGGTCCCTAAACTAAAATATCAAATGAAGGAATAGGGAACTACTAAACTGTAAAACACGTCTCTAAACGAATCAACACACAATCCAATGACAATCATAAAAAGAACTCCAAACAACAGCAGATCAAATCAAGGTACCTCGAAAAAGGCAACATGGCAGAATGAATAGCGATTAGAAACCACCCATAACGTATTCAAATGTATGGTAGCATGACAGTGTCTAGAGCCCACCCACACTTACTCGTCAGTAAGGTATCATTGACGGCAACTAGCACCCGCGCACAACATACAATTTCGTACAGTAGCGTGACACTATATAGCCCCAGTTCATAACATGCCCCCACTAAGTCTACCCGTGAAATCTCTCTATACAAATGACATCAATGACACCAAACAATCATTGTCAAAAGCATTGTGGTAACCAAATATCCTGTGAGAGTTAAGGTTTGGTCCAAAGACGTTCGGCTGGACCATCTTGGCCAATCCCAAAACTCTGGCAATAATGTCCTAGGCACAGTCAAGTTTAAGGCCTCAAATCCTTAATACGAAGAAAATCGACAACTCATGAATCACAAAACACAGGTCAAATCACCGAACCAAATCAAAGACTCCACAAAACACCTCTATAAAACAACTCCCAATTACGAATCCAAAGCCTGACAAGTCTGTGCCCTCAAGAAACAATGGATCGAACTCCACAAAATTAGAAAAACATCGATATCTCCTAAGTTACAATAATCCTTACCACAAGACAATACACCGAAATCCTACGCACAAAGTCCCCTTAATACAACAAGTCTCCAAATCTTGTGTCACACCTCGAACCTATCCTCTAAATAAGATCTCTACATAAGAGAAGTCACCATAAAATAGTCACCTATCACCAATGTGACAAACCCCAAACAAATCAGAAAACATAAGTGTTAACAAGTCTCCCAAAATAGCTCAAAAACCAAACTCTCTAAAGAAGTCATCAATGATCACAAAACTTTGCAATCCACCACCATCCTAAAACAAATCCACCAAAAGACAACACACCCAAGTCACAATGCTGGATCAAAATCACTATCATGGACAACCAAATCCTCAAAACACAAGTCTACCACGTAGCCCACACATCACAATCCCGACAACAAAGGTCACAAAAACCCATGCATCAATGTATGAATGACAAAATAGTATGAATACCATGAATGAATAGTTATTTTCAAGTCACATGACCGCAGGTAACAACCTAATGTAATATAGTTATTTTCGAGTCACATGCTCGCAGGTAACAACCCATGCAATAATGCTATGAACCCATGTCATGATGAAACCCATTTATTAAACACCGAAACAAAATACCAATAGGGAACCATGTCCCTCCCCATAAAATAGCCACATAAATAGTGACTATGTCACAAATTCTGAAATAAACGCACACCATGTATGCAACTACAATGCAATACAATGCATCAATGTATGTACTCGAAACACACATATCACATACTCATAAAGCATAACACATGACCTAAATAATATTCTACAAGTATATCATATAGTCCACATAAGACAACCAAATAGATCACATATCCCACAGGGATCCAAATAATGACAGAATGATATACATCACTAATGATACCAGCATGATAAGTAAATACAACATGTGAGAAATACATCATTTCTATCATCACATAAACCAACACATAGTCACATATCCTGAACATATTTCTAAGGCATGCTAAAAAATAATAAGGCATATAATCATGCAAAGGTGACTACATAAATAATAATGCCATAAAATAAAAAGTAAAATAGAATGCCTCTCAAAAGGACTATCTCACAGAATGCGTATCCCAAAACACGGATGAGTCCAATTTCTCACTACAAGGACAAGAATCATCTCTGAAAACGACCACTAAACAACAAAACAACACAAAACAGTAATGCAATGGATAGTTCCAACGCTAATCATCACAAGACATCCACAAGAAGGACATATCTCAAGATGCCAATGGGTCTAGTAGGGACTCTACAGGATTCTATTGGAACCCTAACACAAATCCCAAGTCTCCAATGACAAGGGAGAGTAATTAATTGCACCAATGCAATTAATCACACGAAACCACACACATCCCAACCATAGCTCATAAGAGCTGTCCAAAGCAAACTCAAGAAGAATCCTAGGTCAACACACCTATCAAGTCCCTAAACTATTATTCCAAGAAAATAAGACATGAGAACCTTGCCGTTGAGGCCTACAAAAATAAATCTCTCATTCCCAAGGAAGAACTCAAGTCAATCTTAACTCACTGTCCCATGACACTAGAAACAAAACCCCAAATGATGTCACCGCATTAAGGTTACCACAAAGCCCCAAGAGATGATACCAACACCTCAAACACACCCACGACCATGTTATGAAGCAACAAAAGAAAATGAGATGAAACGGTGCCTCCATAGCCCACGTCTCATTCTATCAAATAAGGACTACAAACTTACGCTCACATGAGCCTCACTCACATCAACCTCAAACCCAGAGTCTCAAAACCACCAAGTCGTCAAAATAGACAAAAAGATTCCCACCATGGAGACCTTACAAAACAAATCCCTTCTACCCAAGGAAGAAGTCCTAAATGACAAAGACGTGTCTAGGAATACTATGGACTCCAAGAGATAATGCCCTAGCATTTCTCTCACCCAACCGAGCATGAACAATGCACAAGGTCAAAATAAGATATGAAATAAATATAAGGCCACTAAGATCATACGCATCACATAGAAAATTTTTATGGTAAACACTTCAAGAAACCACATCTCATGTTGTCACTACAACCATGTTAAGCACGTAAAATATATTCATTTGAACTCATAGGCGTATTAAACATTCAGCATACAACATGGAAACATGACCACATACTTATACAAGTAGTAAACAATCAACATAAAACATGCTCTATCACATAGCAAGTAGATAAAAATCAAAACAAACAACGCAAGTAGTAACTAGTATGCTCACCACATAACACAAGGTTAACATAAACATTTAACAATCAATCATGCTCAATAATTAGCATACATCATAAGGCATAAAGCATATAGCATGCAATGGCCAAAACTATCAACTAACATACTTTGGTAAAAAGTCAACTCAAGATTCTAAGTATCTTGCATACAATCATGTTAAACGTAATCATGCTTAACATAATGAATAGTATATGATAAGTGTTAAGCCATACACGTAAACATAACAACTAGCATGCTCCAAGAAATATATGTGCACCTAATCATGCATGAAACTCGAAGTGAGAAGCTTCATGCCCCTAAAAGATACTATCAACCATCTAAGTCAGAGACACGATGAGTGACGAGGAAGGATAATCAATCACTTCCAAGCACTCGTGACCACATGCAACTGAAACACGCTTATCTCGATTGGCACGAGGTGTATCTATATTTTATGATAGATATTTTTTTACAGCAACTTGAGCTATGATGATAGATGAACTCACTCATTCCTATTATTTATTTATTTATTTTTAAGTATCAAAATTGAACCCTTAAGACCTTGTCCAAAACAACTTTTGAAGTCTTCAGTTAGCTATTTCTTTCCTTCCAAGTAGTTTTAACTACGGGGAGGAAAATGATGGAATGGAATATTTAGGTCAATGGGTGCACTTGATCGAGATACACCACTGCCAGCATCAGTGACGGGGTATTTTGGGGTTGGAGAGCATGGCAACCTCGTGCTGGTGGATGAAAAAGGAAATACTTCCTACTTCTACACCGATCCCCAAACGTCTCAGCCTTACTCTGCCACAATGGTGAAGCTTTTGGATTCCGGGAACTTGGTATTAAGTGATGCTCAATCTGGAAAGACCATTTGGCAAAGCTTCGATCATCCCACCGATACATTTCTTCCGGGTATGAAGATGGATGAAATCCTAAAGTTGACTTGTTGGAAAATTAGTGATGACCAGGGATCCGGAAACTTTACCTTCAGGCAAGATGAGGGAAATGCATACTTGTACAGCATTCAGAAATGGTCAATCATATACTGGAAAAGTGGAGAGTCGGGTCCATTCACCTGGTACAATCGAATGATTAGAGCCGTAGCGTTACTCTTATCAAACTATAGTAATCTTGCCAATTTGATAAATTATAAATATTTTCGCAACTCATCAATTCCAAATTATAATTATAATTATAATTATACACGGTTGGTAATGAATTATTCTGGGGAGATACAGTTATACAATGGGCGTATGGATAACAAAGGATGGTCTCTAACATGGTCAGAGCCGAGAGACCATCAATGCAGTGTGTATAATTATTGTGGCAAGTATGGAAGCTGCAACAATAACAACACATTGTTATGCAAGTGCTTGCCAGGGTTCAAGCCTAGCTTGCCTGATCATTGGAGTTCTGGGGATTTTTCTGATGGGTGTGTTAGCAAGTCAACTACACCAACACGTCCTGGGAGCTACACGTTCTTGAAATTGACTATGATGAAAGTAAGGAAACCAGACTTGCCGTTTGATAATGCTAAAACTCAGAGAGAATGCAAAGACGAGTGCCTTCGCAGCAGCAGCAGCAAATGCCTGGCGTATTCGTATGTTGATGATCAAATTTTGCCGCGAGACAGAGGTAGCGCCAGGTGCTGGATGTGGACAACCACGGCTGGGGATCTCAGTAATTTACAGGAGTATACTGATGCTGGTGGCATTGATCTCTATGTGCGCATCAAAGCTTCTTTTATAAGTATGCCTTCTGGTTCCCAATTTTTTATTTGACCAGAATCTCTGTGGAACTCAAAAGGGAAAATTTCCCTAATGTTAACTTCGAATAATGCTGCAAATGAACTTCAGTTGTTGATCAATAACTCGGGATCAATTTGTTTAAAACTCATTTCGAGCTTGTTTGTTAAGTAAACAAGCAAAGTTCAAGCTCGGCTTGTGAAAACTACCCTAATGTAGGATTTCGTGAACACAATCATAAACATAACATTGGCTTGTATAGGTTCATCATGATTGTAGTGTTAAGCTTGTGTAGGCTCATATAAGTTCATAAATGAGCCAAAGCATCTTGAACACAGCCTGACCTGAGCCACAAACAAATCAGTTGAGACCAAACGGACTGAATCTCGGCTTCATTTGCAGCCATATATACCTTTGAGGTTTGCACACAAAACTACAAAACTAGCAAGGCCAACCCATACATACACTAACTGCTCAGTTTTCAAAACTAATTACTAACACTATTTAATATTTGGCAGGATTAACAACCAGAAACTGTGACACTTGTGGCACAAATTTGATTCCCTATCCACTAAGCACTGGACCAAACTGTGGTGATTCCATGTACTTCAGCATCCTCTGCAATTCCTCAACAGGTCAGGTTAGCTCCCGCACACCCAGGAAAACCTTCCAAGTCACTAGAATCGATCCAGATACACAAAAATTTGTCATTCAATCAAAAAGTTCTGAGAAGTGCGAGGCAAGAGGTTCAGGAGATGAACTACAGCTGAATGCATCTCTTCCCTTTCGTATCACTGACTGGTGCTACACTGATCCGTCTCATAAACCCATGAAAGGATGGAAGGAAATAGAGATTGCTTGGAAACCACCACAAGAGCCATCCTGTAATTCATCCAAAGACTGCAAAGATTGGCTTAATTCTAGTTGCAATATAACAGAAAATGGGAAGGCAAGGTGCCTTTGCATTGCAAACTATCACTGGAATGGCTCGAGTTTAAATTGTACTCAAGGTGAGGTTGCTACATTATGCATGTCAATATTAAGACAATCGATCAGCCATTATTACGCAATCAGAGGAAATCTAAAATGCCAAATAAAATGAAAAGTACTACTTCCTTAGTTTGATTTTATAGACTTTTTTGGGCATTCCTAACAATGATAGATGACCGGGTTTCCCTTTTCCACATGTAAGTAACAAATTAGTCCCTTTTTTCATTCCAGGAGTTAGCAACACTAAGCAACCTGAGGAGTCTGGGCATAAAGAGAAGTCAGTTTCTTTGAAATCTGTGATTATCATTGTCCTTGTTATTGTTATTGTTGTTGTAGTACTCTTATGCAGCATTAGCTACGTCATATACCGAAGACGTATTGTGGCGAAATGAGAAGGTAACTGGTTTTAAACAATTAATATACATACATTATGCATGAAGATATATATATATATATAGAAACAATTTCTTTCTTCTTTTTGGCTTTTGTGTGTTTCTCACTAAGGAACGTGAATTTTCAGGTAATATTCCCAATAACAAGTTGTTATGTTTTTTGACTTCAGAAAGCAGACAAAGGAACCAAGGGAATCCGGTTCTTCACTTGTATGATAGTGAAAGATGAGTCAAGGACTTGATAGGCTCAAGACAGTTTGAAGAAGACGATAAGCAAGGCATTGGTCTACCTTTTTTTATTTGGAAAGCATAGTTGCTGCTACAGACAACTTCTCAGAAGCAAATAAGCTTGGACAAGGGGGATTTGGGCCTGTTTACAAGGTTATAGTCCTTTTTGTCAGTAAGTTATTAATGGTGTTTTTTAACTATTGCATCATAAGGATAGTGTGTTTCAGGGTAAGTTTCATGGAGGAAAAGAAATGGCCGTGAAAAGGTTGTCAAGCCATTCTGGACAAGGCTTGCAGGAATTTAAGAATGAAGTAGTGTTAATTGCAAAACTTTAACACAGAAATCTTGTTAGACTTTTGGGCTATTGCGTCAAAGGAGACGAAAAGATATTACTCTACGAATATATGCCAAACAAAAGCTTAGACGCCTTCATATTTGGTTAGCCTCTAAACTGATATTTGTAGACCTTTTTAGTGTATACATATTACAATTTTTGTCTTAATAGAAACCAAATATGGTTTTACTTAAATTATGTTTTGCAATGGAACCTTGCAAGATCCAACGATGTCTTGTTCCTGGATTGGGAGAAACGCTTCGACATCATTTTGGGGGTCGCTCAAGGACTTCTTTATCTTCACCAAGATTCCAGGTTGAGGATTATTCATAGAGATTTGAAAACAAGCAGCATTCTCTTAAATGAGGAGATGGACCCGAAAATTTCAGACTTTGGCTTGGCAAGGATAGTGGGTGGCAAAGAAACAGAAGCAAACACAAACAAAATTGTCGGAACCTAGTAAGTATAGCAGACTTGGTATGAACATCAAAACTAGTATTACTAAGTTTTGCAGCACAGATGAAGTCATCTTTTAGGGAAAAAAGGTTGTGACATATTTAATACTAAATGCTTTGAACATTTGATATAATGCAGTGGTTATATGTCTCCAGAGTATGCATTAGATGGGTTGCTTTCAGTTAAGTTTGATGTCTTTAGCTATGGAGTTGTTGTACTTGAGATTATCAGTGGGAAAAAGAACACAGGATTTTATCAGTCTGAACAAGCCTCGAACCTTTTCGGTTATGTAAGTGCTGCCAATCAAAACTTTCTCAAAACCAACAATATTTCGATCGTTACTCTTTACTAAGCTTCTGATTCCAAAACTATCCAACTCAGGCATAGAGATTATGGAGAGAAGATAAGACACTGGATCTGATGGATCAAACGCTGGTTGAATCGTGTAACAGAAGTGAAGTCCTGAAGTGCATAATTGTTGGGCTATTATGCGTACAAGAAGATCCTGGTGATCGTCCCACCATGTCAAATGTACTTTTCATGCTGGGAAGTGATAGTGCAACTCTTCCAAATCCTAAACAACCAGCTTTCGTTGCAAGGAGAAACATTTCTACCACACCCTCTTCTTCTTTCAGTAGACCAGAAACCCTCTCCAATAATGAGTTAACAGTCACTCTAGAAGAAGGCCGATAAGGAACATTCTCTTTCTCCGGAAATATCTTTCTATAACACTGTTAATTCCGTGTTAAGAAATTTCAATCTACATGTATCTAACTCTCCCTCTATTGTGTGTGGTAAAGCTGTGTATCAGTGAATTGTTTAAAATACAAGCAGTATTGTACTCAAGTTTGGTATCAGCGATGTAATAGCATTATTTGCTTCTTCAATTCAAGTCCCACCACCATTTTAGTGCAACATTTGGTATCAGAGCTTTCACTTGGCTTAACATTCAGGTATATGAAACTTGCTCTTTTGCATAGAAAATTACCAGACCAATTGGCAAAACTAGATTACCCTTTTACTGTGTGCGCTTACATGTGTTTTTAATTACAGTTTATTGGTGGAATTATATAGCATCATTAATTTACACCTACCAGAGTTGATTTGAGGGCATGGCTCTTGGTCATCCAAATGAAGGTTCAATCTAATTGGACCTCGAGTTCTAATGCAACCCCTAATTTCCTTTTGAAGCTATGCATGTGTAGGTGAGCTGAGTGTGTGTAATTCATATAGAAGGAGCGACAATAATCGTACCTTTCGGTAGAGCTCAGTCTTCTTCTGAACTGGTCCAGAAGCTCATCTTTGAATCTATGGCGTTCACCTGTAGATTCCCAGCTCTGTTTTTTAATTCCAACTATGGCCAGATCGGGAATACCTAACTAATTCGCTCCAAGTTGTGTTTGTGTTGTTTGGCAGTGTGACTTGTTTGTCTTTGCCTTCGTTTTGCGCGCTTCATTGGGTTGGACCTCTTATTATGGGCTGTTGAATTTTCGTTTCCCCTGCTTGTGGGCTGGCGTGGATTATTTGTATCCTGTTTATTTGTTTGGCCCTTAGCACCCCAGAATTGTATGGTTCACTCTTTGCCTTATTGAAAAAAAAAAAAAAATTAAAAAATAAAAAAATTAAAAAAAAAAAAAAAACATATAATTATATAAACACTTGGTATCATGGTATGTACGGTGAAATCTTTATTAAAACAGTTCTAAAATTTTGTGTGTGTGTGTGTGTGTATGTGTATATATATATATATAATTTTGTGTGTGTGTGTGTATGTGTATATATATATATATATATACATGCTTGACGAACGGATGTGAAAAGAGTCCTTTTATTTACATTCTAATTGGATTTTCTGCAAAAAAAAATTGCCATTTGTTTTATGTATATCAATCCACCTTTCTCAAGAGTAAACTACTCTTTCAGATTCTTTTAATTTGATTCAAGTTTTACGTGTCGAGTATTTTATTCATTCATTTCGATTTCATGAGCATTCGCCGGGTTGGTGCGGGAAGTTGGTCTATTTAGTCTGCTTGTCTTATCCATTTTTCAAACTGGTCCATCAATCAATTAAACTAAAAACTAATATGTGATGGGACCTAATACCTTGTATTTTGTTTTTAAGTGGTCTGATGAATGTACCATTTGTATTATAATCTCACTTTCACTTTCAGTTGAGGTGTGTATTTTTGTTTAATTTTTGAGAATCGATGTTCCTTTAAAATATTATAATGAGGATCAGGGTCGGCTAGGGCCCTCAGGCAACCATGGCCCAGCTATAGAAGGCCCTAAAATTATTATTTTTATTTTATTAGATTTATTAAAAAAATTATTTCCTTGTATTAGTTAGGCCCCTAAAATCATTATTTCCTTGTATCATTATCCATTTTTCCAACTGGTCCGTCAATCATCTTGGACAAACTTTATACAGTAAACATCTCTGTCAGAGTTTTTTTTTTTTTCCAAATAACCAATCTTTGAAAATTGCTTTTCATTACAAATTAAAAATCCAAGAACCCTATTGTCATCCTGTGCTACTTACGTTTTCGGCAACTTTTGTGTCTATATACCGGAGCTCCGTCTTCTCTTCGGCTTACACAACTTAAGATCCCCTGGTTCGTCACATCAATCCTTACTTTGTCAACTTTATGCTGCTGAATTAATTCATGAACTGTTTTCTTTGAACAAAAAACAACTTATTTCACGCACCCTTTACTCTTTTTCCTTGTGGCCACAATAGCTATTCAATACAAAATGATCAATTCCAACAAAAACTTAGCTGCAATTCTTTGGTTCCTCCTTGTTTATTCACATCTCCCTCTTACTATCTTGTTTAGCAATAGACACCATTTCTAAAACCCAACAAGTATTGGATGGTCAAACCTTAGTTTCAGAAGGGGAAGTCTTTGAGCTGGGCTTCTTTAGTCCTAATGCATCTCATGTTAGATATGTGGGTATATGGTACACAGGACTCCCCGTTGAAAAAGTTGTATGGGTTGCAAACAGTGACAACCCATTGACGGATACATCTGGAGTTCTAGTGATCGGAAGGGATGGGAATTTGGTGCTCATCGATGACAGATTCAACACAGTTTGGTCCACAAAGCTAGCTTCTGCTGCATCAAATGGTACAATTGCGGTACTTCGTGCTTCAGGTAAACTTGTTCTTATTGAAAACAAATCAAACGGAAGTGTCTTATGGGAAAGCTTCAGTCATCCATCAGATACTTTGTTGCCGGGCATGAAGCTGGGATTGAACACTAAAACACAGGAAAGTTTATTTTTAACATCGTGGAAGACTGACAAGGATCCATCACACACAAAGTGTGATCTTAAACGGAACAATCCAATGCTGGAGAAGTGGGCAGTGGAACGGGAGGAGCTTCATACGAATTCCAGGCATGAACACAGACTACCTTACAGGCTTTAACCTTGTCAAGGATAATCAGGCAGGAACGATCTATTTTGTGTATTCTTTTTTCAATATGTCGTCATTTCCATCGTTTTGAGTTCTCTGGGAGCTCTAATTCAAATGAACTGGGACGCAGAGACTAGCAAATGGGTAAATAATGTGATTGCACCCAAAGGTCCCTGTGATATTTATGGTACATGTGGCTCATTTGGGATCTGTAATGATACGAACTCCCCAATATGCAATTGTTTGAGAGGGTATGAACCAAAGTCTACAGAAGAATGGCACAGAGAAAATTGGACAGGTGGTTGTATAAGAACACTTAAAATACACTGTGAGAGGAATTCGAGCATTGATGATAGCAAATTAGACGGTTTTATAAAGCTGACAGGAGTAAAACTACCAGACTTCTCAGATTACTTGGATTTGAATGACGATATAGATTGGGGTGATTTTTGCCTGAAGAACTGTTCTTGTGTTGCATATGTACGTGTAAATGGAATTGGTTGTATGGTTTGGGGAGGACATCTGATTGATGTTAGGGCGTTCTCTTATGGTGGAGAGGATCTATACCTTGCATATTCTGAACTAGGTAAGTATTTGATTTATTTTTAATCATTGTTGTAGCAATTATGATGGCTCCGACATTTCCATGAGATGGATATGCAATTTTTTCCTAGCCTTAGCCAACAATGATTATTTTTGCTTACACCAACAACAGCACATTTATTTGATGTTTCTTAGTTGTGGTTGGATTGCAAATTGATTTTTCTTATGTCCATCTCAGACCTTCGAAGGCAATCAGTACATTAGCA